GGGAGGGGGGGGGGGGGGGGAGGGGGGACGCTTCCGCCTCTTCGCTTCCTCTTCCTCTGCTTCCTTCCACGATTCCGACTCTCTTGAGAGTTCTAGGGAATTCTCCGCTCGAATGATCCGAGGACCGCCATCGAGAACTTTTTTTTCCGAGGGCGTGCCGATGGCCACATTTGGTCGGTGGGCCGGTTTTCATCTCGTGCCCTTGCCGGAGTCCATTCTGGTCCACTTTTGGTCCCGTCCGGCCCGTTTGTGGTCGGCTCGTTTTCTGTTGATGCCGTCGATCGGGCTGAAACGTGATCCGATCGATATTTTTGTCTGGGAGTGGCTGGCTCCTAGCCTCGTTCACGGAATTTTTTTCTCTCCCGTCTTGCAACCGGGCGTCGGCAGCTTGCAACCCAGCCGACACCGACGTCGCCGACACTGCAAAACCGTCCACCTCTTTCGACCGCCGACGCCTCGACACGGCCCAATTACTTTCACCCTCTGATCACGCGTCGAGGGACACGGGCCTTCGAGCCCAGAGGCTTCATCCCCTCCAAGCAGGAAACGTCGGGCACGGACTGGAAACGGGGCGAGACGAGGGGATTCTCCCCGGGCAACCGCCACGCGGTGAAGGACGGCCTTTGCAAGTGCGAAATCGATGGATCCTCGCAGAAAGAATCGAGAGGTGCAACCCTGGTTCCCGGGCAACTATTGCCTCAGTACTGGCAGTGTTGCCAGATCGTTAAGGTGCATTCCTCAGAAGACTTCCTTCGATCGACGTTCTGGCCCTTGTGGTTTCGCAAGATTCCCTTACAGTTTTTTTTTTCATAAGCTCGTTTAAATTTTCCTCTCGTCCACCTAGATTGGAATATTCTTTTCACCTGGCAACACTGCTTACCTCCCCAGTTGAAATAATGTGCGTAGTTTCAAATACCCAGCCGCCATGTGGTTCGTGTCCCACGACTGGCCATGTCGGGTCTTATATCAGCAGCGATGGGCAAAGTTATTCGTTTGAACTGCTGGTAATTATGCTCAAGATAATTTCGTATTCCTAGTTTCAATTTGAGGCAAATTTGTTACGATACAAGTTTATTACGGGAGGTGTATTTATAAAAATCAGGACTTCAGTAGGCTCCCTTCCAGGACTTGAGTGATTTACCAGGAGGCCTGCCATGAATCAATCGGTAGGGCGATTGAGCCCGAATATTCCTTCTGCAAAGAAAGGAGACATGAAAAACGAAAGTACTAATAATAAAGCTGCCTTTTCCCGCCCCGACACAGCCGTCACGTGACGTGACGTGACGTGACGCGGCGTGATGGCGGAAAGGGCGAGAGCTCGAGGCTCATCTGTCGTCGTCTCGACCTCGTATCGGAGAGCCGAGGTCGAAATGAAGATTGATGAGGGGTTGAGTCTTTCCTTAATTAATCGGAGAACTTGGCCTCCCTTTCCGGAGAAGGGAATGGATTTCATCGTCTTCCGCCATCTTTTCGGGCGACCTTGCTCCGATGTTAAGCCAAGAGGAAATGGAAATGTGTCGATGCTCTAAAGCAGGGGTCGGGAACCTTCTGGCCATGTGAGCCACATTAAGATTGAGCTAAGTTCTTGTGAGCTTTCAGAACAGAATGGCAAGTTGGCAACAGACATATGCATTCTGAGGAAAAATGAGGAACAATCATGATTTTCAGCTAAGACTCAATGAGCCAAACTTTTCGGCTCGTGATCCAAATTTGGCTCATGAGCCATAGGTTCCCGACCCCTCCTCTAAAGTCATACAGTATTTTTTGTCTATTTAATTTTTGCTCCATGCTCATCATTTGGAGCGCTAAATCGAAATGATTCTCGACGACAACCTCCGTCGCTTCTCCGTGGATCATATCAATTTTGATCGTTCCGTTCAGGTTATTCATACTTAATTATACGTTCGCTACGCCACGGAATCACGAGAAGCAAACGAGCCAAGTCTGCCTCAGGGGATCACAGACTTTTCTATCGCCCTCGGCCCTTCGTCCTTGAAAGTCTGCGGAACGAAATTCTCTGCAATCGAAGAAGCCCACAAAGGTGTGTCGAGTGCTGAGCTCTGCGTCGAACTGAATGTCGAATAGAGCGATGGACGCAATCCCGTCCCAGCCGATGTACGCCCGCGGACTCCAATGAGTACCTCACGCTCTAAAAAAGAGGTGAAGGGAACAGGCAGGGCGTCTGACGCTCATTCGCTGCGTATTTCTTTGGCTTGGCCTGAATGCTTTTTTCTTCAGATACAATGAGGCCCTTGAATTCCTTTCAATGGTTACCTCTCAAAGGATTTCCCGATGGCATCATTGAATGACGGATACCGTTTTGTTCCACTCCACTCGCTGTCGTCGAGGAGAAGCCCAATCTCAAATTCTATTGTATCGTCTCTTTCTCAATCGAATAGAACTGAACAGCCTAAGGTTTGTCGATTGTCCAAAGCGATTTTCGAAGCGATGTGAATTTACACGTTTCGATTCTCCGGTTTAGTCGTGAGACGATAAACCACGAATCGAACTCAAGGAATGGGTAAAGGGTTCACTGGGAAAAGAAGTGCTGGATCAATGCAATCTTTGGGACTTTCAATTACTTTCAATGGCAAACTTCAAAGGCAGCCAAGAGTTCCTATAGCATCAGCTCCATCTCGGGGAATGGACGATGTTCTTCGACCGTCTTCAGGTTTCCCTGCAGACGAGAGGAGTGGTTTATGCTACCGCGGGCGCTAGGCAGGCAGTGTGAGGGAAAGATGGCCGCCGACGTGAGTGTCTGGCCTCTGGAAGAGGATGGGAGCATGTCCGTCGGGGAGGAACTGCTCAGTTCCACTTATCATAAGAATCTGAATGTTATCATCGCGTTGACGAAGAATCTTGCGATGAAGATTTACGACGTCAGTTCGGGGCATGTCGTCTACGAAGCGTCGAAATTCAAGGGTGAGATGATCGTAAGATCTAGGCCTATCATGGGTTTGGCTGAATTAAATTATGAGTGATGTCCAGTCATTGACACGGCTGCAGAGCCGAGTTTTACAGTTCTTCGCAACAGATCTGCTGGCACGTAGTTCAGCCTGTTCCTTTTGCATGCGAGTCAATAGCAAGGCAATTATGAAAAGATCAAACTGAAATGTTAAAACACAGGATTGTAATAGACTTTCAGTGCAGTCGAGGCACTTTAGAAGGTACTGGTTGGCAAAGAAAATAGATTGAGACATCTGGACGTCTTGCATGGGAAGGCTTTGGCCTTGACCTCAAGTGTCATTGCTCTATGGAATAAATTGACTGAATCCTGAGCTCATACAGTCTTCGGATTGAATCGGTACCCCCTGTGTAGTGGGGAACAGAGAAAGCCCTACTTCTGGAGGATCCACTTCATCCACAAAACCACCCATGTGGGAGATATTACTACCTGTGATTGATGGAACTCCTCTTATGGAGGGGGAAGAGCCAATTCATTCTGAAAACTGTGTAGCTGTAATAGGGTGCAATCTCTCCCCCTTGCTAGTGATGAAGCCACTGCTGATTTTAGTGTAACTTGTTGTAAGTCGCAAAGTTCTCATTATTGCACTCCAATCCAGTGATTTATACTGGTGTATATATTCACATGACTTTATTTCTGTTCCTCCCCTTGTTACTTCTCTCTCTCTCATGGAATTGGCCTCAGGGTATGCTTGTACTTAGCACCACTGAAGGCCTAATTTATTGAGGTATCTACTCAGAGGTCACCTAACATAGACCTTCTCCAAGTGTTATTTTTAAAACCTTTCAACATTCCTTTTTTTTTCTTCAGAATTTTGTTTTGGTAATGATGTTACCTTGGATTACCTACCTGGATTGGACAAGCTGTTGGTTGTGGAGAGATCTGTTGGAACTGTGGGAATCCGTAAAGATCATCAGGGTGTGCTACTTCTAGATAGCATTCTTCAAACTCCCAAACAAGCACAAGATTTGGATAGCATGGCCATGGAACTCATTTTGCAAGAGGTATGGGTGATCTTTTTTTATATTATAAATGACTCTGCGTATATCTCTAGCATAAAATTCATATGTATTGAAAATGGAGTTCTATAGTTGATAATCTGGTTCTTTTTTCTTTTAGGGAATAGTTTTCATGCAGTCTCTCCAGAATGTGCCATTGGCTCAGTATGAAGATGATGTTGCACCTTTATTGACACAGTTATTGACAGAAGTAAAAGCTATGCAAAAATCAATTCACAAAAACCCAAAGATGGCCAAGGTAAGAACTCATGAAAGCTCTTTAGCTTGTATGCAATTATTTTTTCAGGATTTTAAATTAAAAAAAATAATTTTTTCTTGTACAAGTGGGCAACAATTCATGTGAGGCGACCTCTTGATGGCCTTCGGTCAGTTTCCCGAGCAATAATGCAAGAGTTACGCCAGAAAAGCCACTGTGTCAACATACCTGCTCTACCAGTGGCAGCTGCGATATCAGATCGGGTCCAAGTCATGGAATCAAGCACTAAGGATGAGATTGTAGTGCTCACATCAGTTTATAATATCAACGATCGGAGTCTAATGATCAGTGAAGCTGCCCGACGGGAGACCTTTGCTGCTTGGCCACATTCTCTCTACAAGTGAGGCTTCATTTGTCTTCTGTTGTCCACAAGGCTCATTCAGAGTGCATTTTTGACAGACATGGGAAAAACTAGGTTGAATTTGGATATTCATCATATACTTACTTTCGTAGGTGGGCAAGACCAGATCTAATGGCACAGGCTGGATTCTATCACAATCCTGTATCATCTGGGGATGATCGAGCCATGTGCTTCACGTGCACTGTTTGTCTTGTGTGCTGGGAGCCTACTGATGAACCCTGGTTAGTTTCTTTGCATTTCAAACAGCTTACCTTTTATCACCATTTGATGTCTGGAAATATCTTTACCTCCCCAAGTAATCATAAAATAAGGAGGAAATTTAAAAGAAACCTATTTTCACATTTGATGTAATATTTTGGAGGAAACTTTTTTTATTTTATGTTATATTTTGGAATACCCCATCCTTGAAGTTTATTATAATGTCATGGTATTTTTTTTGCCACTTAGAATGCAGAGTTTGCTTGTGTGTCATGATCTAGTTTTATACCATCCTGCTTTCAGGTCCGAGCACGAGAGACATTCTCCATCGTGCCCTTTCGTGAAAGGAGAATACACTGAAAATGTACCTGTTTCTGTCTCCTATGCTACTGCCCCTGCCCTGAGCCATGGGGAGAGTTGGGAAAGCATTGCATGCATTAGTGCATCATCCCATTCTCAGCTTGTTGCTACTTCCACTCGTGATGGACATATAGTAGTATGGAATGCTACACGTCTACTCAAGGTGGGACCTGTATTAATCTGTGACACAGGAATATCCTTACAAGTTTTTTGCTGTTGCAATTATTCTTTCTATTGTGAAAGGCAGAATGCATGAATTTCCTATCAGGAGTATACATTGGGTTGTTCATGTGGCAATTATTTGATGGTGAGAAGCCAGCTTGCATTATGCAGTAGGAGTTGTTAAAGGAGGGCATATTTTTTAAAACTAATGCTACATGATGATTCAAAAAAATAACCAAAAATTATGGAATTGACTCTCAGTTGTCAACAAATTCTTGTCCATTTCATGGAAAAAAGAATTTAATGTTTTGTATATTTTATTAATTTATGCTCATCTTCTCACATTTGACCCATTCTAAAAAGCTCTGAGAAAAATTACATATATGAGATAACCAGAATTTCTGTGGAATATATGAATAAAGTAAATATGAGCATCAAATATGACCATATTCTACTTAGTATGCCTGAAGTGTGATGTTAGGTGTGTACTGTAACCTGTTATGATCCATGGTATTTTGTACTTGTGATTTTCAGAGGTAGTGTATTTTTAATAGAGGTAGGCTAGGCCTGGGCCTACCCTGCCTTCATTTATGATCCACAACTTCTGAATATCACGAACTGCCACTGTCATGATCTAACTACATGGACTGGTTTTACTTCATTTATGTCTGGAATCCATCCAGACATATTTGCATTCACATGCCAGAAAGTATGAAAAATATAACCATGCATAAAAATCTGCCTTGTATCGTTATAAGTCTTCAATCATGGTATAATTTGAATCAGTGAATGACCTTTTTTTATATATGCCATCTTTATGGACTTTTGCAGAAAGAAGTTGAGCTACACCTGATCTCAAGGGAAGTATACAGTGATGAGCATCTTACCCAGCAAGTCAAGCATCCCCATGTGACCAAAGAAGCATGGGTGGAGCCAAAAGTGAAGTCACATGAGGAAAATTTACCAGAAGTGGATGGGGGGAAAACAGCACTAGAAGTGGAAGCTCCCATGGACAGTGAAAAAATTGAACTCAACCCCTTGGAACATCTCTCTGGTAAAACCATAGGGAGAGCATAGAAGAATTAACCCATTGAGGAGTATGCCTGTATATTTGCGGGCTGAATGTACCCTGTCCTCTGTATGTTCACTATGGGGATCTTGCAGGCATTAAAAGAACTCACTCCTCAAAAGATTAAAGATTAAATTTTAGAGAACCCTAAAGAATGGGTCCCTGAATGGCAGACCTATTTGGCCCAGCCAAATATGGACTGTCAAGTTCTTTGGTCCCTCCCTCCCCATACCACCCCCCTAACTCTGCTTCTGACTCCCCATAGTAGGGGTAGTGAGGGCAAGGATTCTATGGAGTGCAGTGATTGGTGGTAACTGGAAAATGTGTATGAACTTGTGGTTTAAAAATTTGGGGACCTATGCTCTAGTAGTGTCATAGTCTTGTGAAATTTTGGACTTCTCCTGTACTCAGTTAAATTGTTTAAAAGTGGAGGTGAGGAACTTCTTAGGATTTAAATTTAAGCAATACAACTGTCCTCCAGGGAAAAAAGTTTACCATCTCATCAGCAAGATATTTAGGTTTGGAGTCAAAGGTATTCCTTTCCAGATAAAAATTGGAGCGAGTGCATTTAATTTGAATCCTTCAAGGTGCCCTACTTATGCATACGCACTGTGACACTATGAATGTGCTTTCCAAAAGCTTCAAGCAACACAGTGATATAAAAAGCAAGGATTGAGGTATCCAGTTGAAAAAGTAATAATTTGAAATTAGGGTTTTCCGCAATACACCTTATAGTGTAAGCTTGTTTGTGGGTTTTGTGTTCTTACCAGCCATATACCATCTCTTCAGTTCAAGTACTTCTGTTGACATATTTTATATTGTGGATTTGTGCAGAGTTTCTTATCATGGTTAAAACTAAAAAAATGTCTTATTCTGAGGGAGCTAACCTTAAAACTATTAGTATGAATATTTGAATGTCACCTTGTGCATATAGTGAAAGGATAATGCTTAGAAGCAAAATGTTTCAATTCCTATCATTTGAGAAGATGGAACTGTTTGCATTGTAGCTCTTTTCAGGCATCCATTCCAATTTTGAACTCCTTTTTTCCAGATCTCCTTGATCACATCTCGCAAGTGTTTCGCAAGGACGAAATCCACGTGACATCAATCTGTATAACAGGTGGAGAGCTGAAAGATCCTAGTTTCTTACTGTCTGCTTCAGAGGATGTCAGTAAGAAGGCTGCTGAAGAGGCAAAGAGTATGCCACCTGTCCTCATTGTGGGTATCTTGGTTGACGATGATCTGAAAAAGCGGCGTCAGAAGTCACCTCAGGATGATGCAAATGCCTCTTCTAACCATCTCTTTCCCTGTCTTCTGGTCTATAATATATGTCAAAAGGGTCCAGAGTATTATCACTTAGAAAAGAGGAAGTCAAGCTCCACACAGGGCTCCAATGGGAAGACAAGACGTGTGAGGAAGTACCTACCCAGTCAGAGTTCGACATCCTCAGCTCCTGTTGACATGGCTGACTCTGAGGAAGAGGAAGAAGAATTTTTTGAATGTCTTGGCTTAGACACAACTGATGCAAGTGCCATCAGTCCTCCAACATCTGCTACTGTGACAGAAAAACCTGACAGTGTCCCTGAGCCACCTCCTGTCCAGATTAGTGAACATGCTCCTGCATATGAGGCTGTGATGGTTCAAGTCCTTCATCTGCCTGCCCCTGTTGGAACCAGAGACTGCCAAATAAAATTTATTGAGGGGTTACCCAATGGGAAAGGAGTGCTTGTAGCTGCAGTTCCTGAAGATGAAAGTGAGAAGTCATTTTTAATGGTGTATCATATCAATGAGGAAGGGGATCGAGCCATGCTGCAAGAGGAACCGTCTAAGCTGGTACGAATATATGGTCATCCCACGGCCCTGTCAGTGCTTCCTCCAGACTTCAGTGAAGATCTTCAGTATTCTGGACAAGTTCCAGGGATGGCCTTTGCGGCTGTGGCCACTGACAAAGGCTGGCTTCGAGTCTACGAGTTGACCACTCTGAATACATCTGCATGTGCTTACACGCGTTCTGAGCAGATGTCACATGTCATATCCATCTTTTATTGTTCAAGTGAGTTGCATCATGTGCTTTGTCTCCTTTCCCTCCCTACTATTTTTATGTCATTCTGTGAACTGTCTATATCTCATAATTTTCTTGTATTTTCTTGCAACTGAACTGAATTTATCTGAATTACTTATGAGGGGCATCTATTGTACATGTAATGTCACTGAGTATTTTTTTGAGAATAGTCAAAGTTGCCCCATCATGCAGCCCTGGGTCTCAACTGGTTCCAACAATGCAGCTTTTGATAGACCAAGCTCTGGTGATATTTGATAGGTTTGAGGGTGTGATGCAGGGTGTTAATGTCATTTCCAACCTTTTCCTATACCTAGTTACAAGGTAAGCCAGGACTTTATAAAGCAACTTTCCAAAAGCATGCAAGAGGTTGAGGTGTGTATAGACTGCACTCAAACTATTCTTAAACATGACTAGAATAAAAATTGGAGTCTTTTATGCAATGTATTTCTTTGTAATTTATGGTGCATAATTTGTATATCTTATGATCTCTGATTGATTTGCCTTGATTGTGTCTCCTGACAGGCATAGACAGATTGTGCTGTGTCTTCTCAAGTGGACACCTATACTTCTTCCATGTGAAGTCAAAGCTGGGTAGTGAATGGGGGCCCATATTGGAAGCTCCAGAATCCTCCAGTTTGGGATCCTACATTTCTCAGAAAGCTGAAGTTGGATCTCCTGTGAAGCGATCTCGCCTTGCATCAGACTCAGGAGGTGAGTAGATTTCTCTGCCACTTGCAGGCAAAGCACTGTAGGCAAGCTGTTTATGAATCATGGTAAGATCCCCAAGCAAAAAATTTAGTGAATACGGTTTGCTAGGCCTTGTGTTGATCTCTTTCTGCTGAAAACTTCAAATTGCTATGCTGGTCCATTGAATTCAAAGCACTGATACTGATGCTGTACCCTGTAAATGGAGATGAAATAAGGAGCCCTGCCATAATAATTTGGCCACCTGTTGCTATTACAATATGTTAGTTTGTTGCAGGAAAGACATAAAGACAAACAATATTGTGCAATCCTTTATTCTAGGACTTGGTTGAGCCACATTTTGCAACTTGAAGAGCATTTACCCTGTTTGGCTTTGAATTAATGAGATTTTGTATTATAGTCTAGTCCAAGTTCCCCCCTATCTGTGAAGAAGCAGGATGGTTTTAGAAAAGTATTAATTCAGAAAATAAGGAAAGTAGGATAATAAAACTTACATGGATTGCAACCTTGAATCTTGAGTGTTTATTTCCATTGGCTTCAAGTGGTTTCCAAATTCATCCCATCAACAACTGATGCCATTTTTAAGCCATCTTGAAGAGCCACTGTAAGTGGTGGCTCATAAAAGAAAGGTTGCAATTTGTGCTGTAATTAATTGAGTACAACAAATCAATTGTTCAAGTGTAGTGTGGATTTAGGATATGCAATAATATTGGCTGATCACCTTTCTCAAGTGAAAATGAAATGGAAAGTTTGCTACCATCGGATAAATAGCTTTTTCCAAGTCTTCAGGTTGTCCTATTGTGATGCTAAGAATTGCAGTAGGTGAGGCATTCAACAAGCTTAGCTGAACTTGCAACTATAGCAGAATTCTGTACAAATATTTTCACATGAGAGTATACAAATTTCATATTATCTAGGATTTGCCTGATGGTTTTGACATGTGCAAGAACATGTGAGCTAACCAAATACAGAGGGTTATTGATAGCAAACAGTTTCTTCAGAATGTATGTGCTTTTATAGAATATGATTAGGGTTGGAGTTCAAGAAACTTTGAAACATCTTTGTGTTGACAGAGAATAGGCTTGCAAATGTGTTGATACCTTTTTCAGCCTGTCCTCAACATGATCTTTTATCATGGAACTGAAGTGCTCAGCTGCATTTAGGTTTGGGGAGCTCCCTGACCATGGTTTAAAAAGTCAATCCCTCTGTGCATTGAAGATATTTTAAGCTGCATGTGCTCAAGAGTAGGGCACATTGTCATGAATGAATAGGCTAGGCTGAAATCCAGTGTATGTTTCATTCCTCCACTTTGTTCCTGCAAAATTTTTTAAAATGTGTTCAACCATTTGATTCCACTCTGTATAAAGTGGGTATGATATGGACATCCTGTTTCATGGAGTATTTTTCCACCCAGGGTTGGCATCTCCTTTGTCAATGTCGGTCTTGAAGAACCTGGCATCCTTGGTGGAATTTGAGGCAACAGCCACAGCCTTTTCTGCATCTATGCCTCCGTGTTGGTTACAAGTTGTGCAAGCTCAAAAAAGAAGACATTCACCACAGTTGCAAAATCAAAGTCCAAATAATGACGTGGACTCCCTGCAGCTCACACGAACATATCGCCTACAGCCTGATAGGTCAGTGTGTTTCTTGTAGAGGTGCAACGATATTTTATCGATTATCGGTATCGGCCGATATTGGGTGAATTCGATATATCGGCCTAAAACAATATATGACCTGCTGATAACCTATATTGAAATTACACCTGAAGTATGCCAAACTAAGTATGTAAAGCGAATGATGAATATTCTCTCCTTTTTCTCATCGGACAACATTTCACTTTACTCGAACACACGTTCATGGGACGTTCCTCATGCATGAGTGTCGAAGTCAAGTGAAAAAATGTCCAAATCAAGTGAAAACACTGCAGAAGGTTGAAAATGCCTAAATGACATGTTTTCATTATTAAAAAAAAAGTATTAGGCTGCTGAAAAATGTAAGCATTTTCCCCCTTTGGATTGGGATTCCCCTGGAATTCGACCTTGACTGCCGCGGTTCCTCAACGTCCCACATCTGGAGATGGGAGCGCTCCGTGCTCGGGTACTCCCTTCCCAAGCATGCTGGCGCTTGAACTAGGAAATATACACTTGACTTGGCTAGGTTCGAGCCCAGGCCACCCTGTCACGGGACATAAGCTCATTACCCAGTCACCCAAGAGAGAGAAGAAAAAGCGTCATCTATTCAACTCGGCCTAATGCCACTACCATAGCCTACTCCGTACTTTCTGCGAAAATAGACATCGCTTGTGCTAGCACGAAGAACCCAGGCCTAGATGGATCCCAAAACCTCTGTACAAATATCACTAGACTATAGTCTGATTTCAACTCTTTCGTGCCAAGAGGTTCCATTTGGAACCACCGATTTTCAAGAATTGTATCATCTCTATATTCATGTTAGGACTGTGCCGATGGCCACATTTGACCGGTAGACTGATGGCGCATTTTGAACTCATACCCAATGACCGGTGCCGGAGCCGGAGCTGATTATGATCTATACTCTATAGATTGCGAAAGTAGCATGAAATCGCATACGAATTCAAATAGGCCTATTTGGAAGGCTTGTGATACTAATCAATGTCTCCTGAAAACGATAGAGACCACTTTTAGACCTTTCCAGCTTGTCTGTCTGCGTCCGTCAGTGAGTCCGTCATGGTTACCTATTGCTGATATGAGCGCTTAGCGACATCACTCGCTAATGCACAGCATAAAAGGAGATGCAATGATTTCACGGTCTTAACGGCTATTTTCCTCCACCAGTTCCTACAATCGGGTTGAAATACGGTAAGTCCTCGATTTACGTCGTGGATGCGTTCCCGGAAAACACGACGTAAAACGAAACCTATTTTCCCATGGACTAAATTATATACAGGAAATCCTCAATCTACGACGTTATATCGGAACGACGCAACGTATATGGGGTATATGTTAGCGACGTTATATCGAAACGACGTAAATCGAGGACCCCTCGTATAATCTAATCGATATTTTTTTCTGGGAGAGGGCGGCAGGGAGGCTTTCAGTGAGACAGGCCGGCAACCTGGCCGGCAACAAGCCTCGCTCACACACTCACGTAGTCTTTTTTGCATTTTGCCTTCCTTCAGGCTTCGGCATCGACAGCTTCCAACCTTACCGTAGCCATTGCATCAATGGTGCAACACCAGAGGCCAATCTCTGTGGTTGTCAATACGTCGGTGCAGTCCTAATTTATTAAAAATATTTGTCATAATTTATATTTGAATATTTATAATTTATAATATAATATTCGCATTTCATCTTCATGGCAAATTATCTGATATGTTAACAATTTGTCAGTTATGTCTGTCTGGGTGTCCATTAGAGGTATGAAGGAGTGAACTTTGACATTCTTGACATTTTCTGAACTGAGTGCTACTCAGAAGAATTAATTGCTATTCCACTTTATTGCAAGTTCTAGGATGGAACATAGGAAAGAAAATGCCTGATGCAAATCCAATGTAATATTTTAAAAATCCACATTGAAGAGCATGGCTTCAGCATGAAGAAAAAATTTCTTCTCACTATTGGAGAAATGGCAAAAGCACAAGGTGCACCACTGGTGCACCTCAAGCTTTCTCCATCAGACCTGGTCCCAAATAAAACTTAACAGTGGAGGGGTTAATGCCTCAGGGTGGATTTTTTAACAGAGAACTATCAGATAATGCAGCTTTATTCTGGGGAAATACATTATATTTCCTGGAAATAAAGCAGCATTATCAGATAGTTCACTGTTCAAAATCTACCCTGAATGTGTGAATATAAATGTAGATATAGATATCGGTATCGTTTATCGAATGTTGGCCAAAATTCAATACCATTGCATCTCTAGTTTTTCGTATATTGAGAGACTGCAGAATGTACTGACATGAAAATCAATTTTTAATTGGAAAAATGGGCATCACTGAAGTACCTATATTTGATGCAGATCACCTGGAAGCGATAAGGAGCAAGTGTTCGAACTAACTCTCATCCGTGCCGCCATAGTGGGCCACATTGACTTGCGCTTCTCACTTTCTCCTGGTGCTCCTCCACCCAACATTCAAGTGACTGTATTGAAGCAGAACAGAGCACCAGTGACTCAAGCCAAGAAGGACTCTAGAGTTGATTCTTGTGTCTCATTTCCCCTTTCTCAGAAAAGTCAAGGTCAGTGTTTCATTTGAATTAATTCTACTCTCTGATCTCACCTTTTTAGAGACTTGAAGTGAAAATTTTCCATTTTTACAGCATCCCTGGAAGAGGTTGCAGATTCATACAATGCAGAGATCTTATGTGGACCTGTGGATTTAGTAAAATGTTTAGATTTGAGTGGCAGCGAAGGTGTGGTCACTCTCACCAGCCCTAAATTGGTCACTTCCCGATGCAAGACCTTCCTTATCCATCTCAGGGATATGTCACCTAAAGAGGTGCAGGCAGTCTTTCTTATGCATAATCAAGTTTAAAAATTTGTTTATTTATTTTCATATAAAAATTAATTTTTTATGGTGTTCTAGTAGTTCATAATAACTTTCCAGATAAGTTTTGGAGCTGAATTTGATGTACATGTGAGCTGAGTCTTTTGATTTGATTAGGATCATAATGGGAAGGAAGGAGATTGGAAGGATGGGAGTCCTCAGTTCCCTCAACCACCACCTCCTTTCTGGAATTATAAGAAGTTCCGTCGTGGAACTCAGCCTTTGGCTCAGACTCAGAGCAGCATTGAATATCCAGGAACTTCTGCTCGTGCATACAAAGATTCCCACCCTGCAGGATGCCATCTCCTGACGGAGATTGCCATCACAGTCCGAAAATTTAAGAAATCAAACAATCAAGTTGATAGGTGAGTTTTTTTTAAAGTTTTTTTGGTATGGTTTATTTTCAAGGATTAATTATTGACCCAGGAGGGTACCAAAGACTGAAAAAAACTGCTTGGAACTTTCTAGTGTTGAAAATAGCAGATACTCATTAATGATTTCTCTCACAGGGTGGAAAGGCCATTTCTTCTGTACTCTTGGGAGTTCCATGAGCGATTGCTCAATGTGGCAATCCGGCAGACACAAGTGGAAGGAACCAAGAATCAAGAATCAGCCCAGATTTTGGCTCTTGACATCTTGAATTGGATAGCTGGAACCCAGGCCCAAGCAACAAGCATGAGAGAAAAGAGCATTTTCCCTCTTATTTCCTCCCACTTGAACCAACTTGTAGGTTCATGCATAATTCGTGGACATCGAACCCTGGCACATAAGGCAGCCATCCTCCTCATCACATACCTGGAGTGAGGGTTTTTAGGATTTACATTGATATTAAGAATCTCATGTGCACTAAGAGATTGCAATACCTTGATCTTTTGTGTATTGACCAATAGGCAAGATGAAGTAAATGAAGATGGGAATGAGCGATCAGTGTCAAAGGATCTTCTGTCTGTCCTGGTTGAGTGGTTACCCGGTACATTGGAGTCCCAGTCTGCTGGTGCACTGCACTGGTTCTTCCTTTTTCTCAATCACCTGATGAAAAGTCTTCCCTCAAACACTGCATGGCCCAGGGTTATTGAACTGTTGCTGGAAATTTCACGTCAACTGCAGCAGAGATCCAACCCATATTACTCCATATTGCAATCACGGTGAGTTGACACCCATTTGATTGCACTTATGGTTTGACACAAATGGGTGTTGACCCAGTCTGCTTCATGTGCATGCAGTTGTGTGTCCCAAAGTTGCAGAATTGGTATCCTTTAAAGACATTTTCTTTTGAGAACAGTGGAGCAGTTCTTAATTGTCAAGTGATTAGATACCAATTTTTGTCCATATTCAATTGTCCAACAAAATTGAATCTGCTCACATGAATGCTTGATAAAGGTTTTATTTTTCACATTCTTATAATCAGAGGCATGTAAAGGAAAGAAAGCCACATTTTCAACCATATTCTTATCCTCTTTACTCACAGATTCTAGAAGTGAAAATATACATAGGAAAGCTGGTAAACCACTAGCAATGAATTCATGAGAACCCTTGAAAAAGAATGTTTTTGAATATTTTATCAATTGACTGGGTATGGCGGATATACTCATCATGGCAGTTCTACTGTACAGTGCAAATGACAAGTATACTTATGGGATTTGAAGATATGGAACTGTCATTTCAGTGAAACTTGCATGAAACATATTTTCCCTTCATGAAAAAATAACTAAATGATGCTCCATTGCAAATGCAATTTGCTGCAGAAAAAACCTCCCACTCAGCTTGCTGCTATTCCACAGAAACTCTCCAGTCAAGTGGTTAAGGAGAATGTGTTGTTGTAGGGGAAAGTGCTTAGGATTAAAGAAGTTATGCCAAGTCCCCTCATCATGTTCATAACTTTGAAGATCTCTGCCTGTATAGTTGGCATTCCACACACAGCATCAAAAGAGCAATTAGAGCACCTGCACACAGAAATGCCATTGGTGGTATCACTTGTTCCAGAGAAATGGAAGGAGCATTCTTAGGCAAGGTGCAGGAGCCCATGGTTTGAAAATCTTGGTTGCTTGTTTCTCCTATCTCTTTCAGCCTCATGATTGCAGCATTGAAGGCCCTCAAATATGCAAAGCCAGGCGAGAAGTACATGACACGATTGGCTCGCACATTGAATGTCTTGAAGCTTCGCACATGGCATATGTCTTCATGATATTGAAAGTAACTGAAGAGGGCATTTTTGAATACCAAGGTATCATATAAAACAGCCACCTTTTCCTGAAAAACATTCTCAACTCCTTTATGGTCTCCAAATGCAATGATGTTGTTCCCTTTTGCATTGATAATCTTCTCCAATTCCTCATTATTGTATGTTGACTGACGACCATCAAATGTTGCTAGGCGCCAGTCACTTGTCCTAATGAAGCCATCGATGTCACCGAAAGGAAGCAAAGGTCTAATGGCAAAGCTTGATGCAAGGGAGCCTGAGTAGCATCCATAAATTATGATCATAGTGAATGATGCTACAAAGACTATGCTTTGTACCTTTCTGACATAAATGTGGCCCAATGGCATTTGGTTGCAGAAAATGCCAAAAGTGAAAAAGATAGACTCAATCAGATTGCAATTGATTTGCTGCCATCTGGTGAAGGTGAACAAGATCATGACAACTATTCCAAAGAAGAGTAAAATGACAGGGTAGACATGAGGATGAAATGGACGGCTGAATATTTCCCAAGCAGGCCCTGGCTCTTGTGTTGCTTGAATAAATAAGGCCATCTGTGCCTCATACATTGGGTGGCACATTGGTAAGACAAAGGGGCGGTCATAACCCAGGGTGTAAATGTCAGCAGACACAGCCAGGTCATAGTCCTGAAGCCGACCCATGAGACCAGTGCATCTTTTGCTGGCTGTGTAGCAGTATCCACCCTGAGTTTCATTGTGAACCACCCAGTTGCATGTGAAATTTAAATATCTCATAAGTGTATTCCAAAAGTATCCATAGAATCCATCATTGAAACCCAGTAACTTGCCATCACTGTCATTCTCATGTTGTTTGAATTTATTTGATGGTCCTGTGATGCAAGTCAACTCTTTTCCCTGGAGATCCAGTCTCCTTTGAGTAACATCAAGACTCATATGAAGCTTACACTGTCCTGATATCTCACAGGTGGATATGAGCTGTTTCTCTTTTTCCATTGTCTTATATATTTGGTAAGTTTCAAACATGAATGCTTTGTCATGTGTAAATTGGAGAGTGTAAACGCTAGAAGTAATGGGAAGGTAGAAATCTGCAAAGTCTCTATCTGTAACATTTGTACTGATGAAGACAAAACTGGTCCCATATTGTCTGATCATAGATTGAAGTTTTGTTTTATCCATTTGTGTTGGCCCCCAAAATGAGAGAAATATGGTTGGTTGGGATGATGAGATATTGCTGTGGAGAGTTGAAATCTTGATAGAATGAAGGCATTGTAATGTAGTCCACATCTGATGCTGCTTTTGAAAATTCTCTGTTAAAAGAAAGGAAGGGAATCCATCTGTCATATCAATTGTGGAGGAAAATCTCATTATCATTAGTCAGGTGTTCTAGTTAACATACCTGGGACAGTGATGAGTGCCAGGGAATGCCAGTTGAACAGAGATGCAATTCTCTTCACAATTTGACAGTGAGAGGTAGAGTATTTCTCCTGACCACTACAAATTATAACATATGCAAGGAGAAGTAAGGAAAACTGGAGGCCAAAATGTATAAGATCCATGCTGATTCACTGGAAAGTCTGCACTGGGGCAGTGTCTTCTGGCAGCACTTTGATATTCAATGCTGACAATGTCCCATCAATGTCCTTTTCTTCTGGCTGTACGTGCAAATTGGCTTTCAAAGAAGGGTGAGAACACAATAGGTTGTGTATTATTGAAGTCGTGCATCTTGTACTCAAGGGGAAGATGAGGAACTCTTTAGGAAGGCAGATGTTCTCCTATTAATGTTTCAGTGGTGATCAATAAGACCTAGATGTCGCAGAGGTGATTACTGCAGTATCTGGCTAATGAGGCCCTCAGCATGGGTTGTTATGTGAATTGCACATCTTGTTGCATTTGTGTGGCTTTCTTATTATTTTTTATGATTCTCTATGAAAATAAATAAGTGAAGCCCTAGTCCTACATTCATTAAAATATTATTTGAATCTCTATTGTCAAAGATTTGGAATTAATTTTGCTTGATTAAACTTTGGATAATATGGACATAATCTTATAGTAATTGATTCCAGCGAATATGATTCAGTGTCAGGATCTTGCAAATTTTCTTAGAGAGAGTAAGATATTTGCTTCCCTGCACCATTTATTTGACTAGTATTGATATCCCTCAATACTAGGGCTGTACTGAAGTAGGTATTGGCCACCAGTTTTGCACCATCAGCCATCAGCAAGACTGCAAGCTCCCAATGCCAGTGTCCAAAGTAGGGGCAAAATGAAAAAAAATAACATTAGCGTGTGAACATGGCTAGGTGCCCATGTCTCACCAAGAACCACTCCTGCTAGCCTCTCCCAGACAAAATTGTTGATCAGATTATATTTCAGCCTGAGTATAGGAACCAGCAGAGGAAAATAGTTGTTGAGAATGGGAATCATTGCACCCCCTTTCCCACATTATGCTTTTGTTAGAGATGTGTCATTAAGCGCTCATTAAGACCAGCTAACCACCAATGGATAAACAGACAGACAGGCTGGACAGGCCTAAAAGTGATTTCTATTATTTTAAGGACACCACTGATAAGTATCATAGGGTTGCCAAATAGGCCTATTTGAATTAGTATGTAATTTCAAGTTTTCTCAATCTACAGACCACATTTGGTGCTGGAACCGGCACTGACTGATGGTTATGAGATCATTATCGACCATTGGCCTACTGGCAAAATGTGGTCATCAGTACTGCCTTACTCAATACCCTTCACCTCCATGTGACACATTGATTATATAAACCATTTTCCTTCATTAACAAGAGGAAACCGTATGTCAGGCAGTGTCCACAGGGGATTCTGTTAACTAAGGAAATGAGTAGTTCCTAGAGGAAAATGTTCTGAGACCTATCATCTAAGAACTTGCATTCTTTCAGGATGTGGTTCATGTGCTGATGAATTCCAGTATGGTAGCAATGTTGTCACATGTAGGGGATTATAGTTGCAGGCCTCCCTCTACTGAAAATTGAATGGTAATGTCAAGTAATTTTTGGGGATGATCCTCCTGAGATGGAATACCCATATTCATAATATTCACTTCAGTCAGGAAGGGGTTCGGTTGTCAGCAAAGAATCAGGAAGTGCACCTGAAAGGTGCAATAAAAGTGGTTCTTTCAAGTGTTTGGCAAAAAGAAAAAACAATTGTCTGACATGCTGTGATTACTTTTATCATGGTACTTATTTTGTGATATTTCTTGACAGGTATGGATTGTATGGGATCCCATTTGAGAGTGAACTGTTTGATATTGATCCTCCGGAGATCATCCCAGCTTCCTCAAATCCAGTGACATTTGCAAGTGTCTGCTCTGCATTTGGTGGTGCGGGTCCTGCCTCGGGATCAGTTTGGAGCCCCTGCCCCGTAAGCAACATCAACAACAATGCTGGCCACAGCAACAACAACAACAACCTCAGCAGTGGTGGAGGTGGGAGAGGCAATGGAGAGTCCAGGGATTCTTCATCTCCATTCGGGAATGGGGAAGATCTAGACCTCCGCCGATTAGTGAACTTGTGGGGAAATGACATATCGGCTTCCAGCTCTGCATTGCTACGAGGACTTGTACCAAAGTCAACTTCTCAGTTGAAGGGATTGCTGGAAGTAGAGCCTCTGCATTTTGTCTGTCACTCAGCTAGTGATGGAACAAGATTGGAAGCTGTGCATGTTGGTAAGTGTAAGAATAATAGTCAATGCCAGAGTGATATCCTTCATTGAGTGCAGTCAAAGTTGAGCTCTCTGTGTATCTATCAGTAACCATTCTAGGTGGTGACCCTTAGTCTTTTTCTTTGTCTATCTTTTTTTTAAATACATTTTCTGGACTTCTGTAATCTGTTTTTTCTCTGCATATTCATCAGTTTTGTCTCATTCTGAGACCTCATGAATATCAGACCAAAGGCTATCCTCTTTTCATGCAGGTGCAGGAACAAGTCATGGTCCATCGGTTTCTAATATCACCATGGCATCCTCCCTGCCATTAGACATTGGCTCAAGGTCAGGATCACCCAGTGAGCAAAAGGAAGGTGTACTCCAATTTGCAATTGTAAGTTGCATAATTTCATGATGACCATCTTTCATTCAATTGTAATATATTTTTAACTCCAAATCCCAGATGTCTTTCATTGCGTAGTCAGGGTTTCCCATTGAAGTTTGCTGAAGCAAGCTGGTTAAGTGAAGGAAACATGAGAAAAAAAAAATAATAAAAGTTTGATTGGTACACACTGCAAGAAAGGTTTAACCATGTTAAGAATTGAACAGATTTCAGACGAGTAAAAAATATATTTATCTGAGATCAGCTAAATGTCATCCTGACTAAAGTAAGGAGACTTGTCCCAGTCCATGGAATCCAGATGGGCAGAAAAATTCAAAGGATTCTTCAAGTTAACTTTTGTAAGCTAATAGAGCCATGAGGTTTTTCTTGTGCACATTCTTATGGGCTAATCCGGTTCCTAACCCAGTTGAACCTCTAGTGACTTTGACTTGTATACTTTGATAATTCAACAACACCATGCTTATCATGCATGATCCATGCATAATGTGTAAGTTTCATAATTGAATTGGTTAGAAAGAAAGAAAAATATAAAAAGAGTATATTTGATCATGGAGATGAGAAGGTCTAATGAAAGGAAGTAGGGAGAATATTTATTTCTGTGTCAGAACAGGGAAAGGTAAATTTTTGAGTTCCTTCATATCTGAGCACTGTGTGAATACTTGGCCTCAAGCATTTTTATGAAATAATTCCCCTATTGTTTTTTCCACTTTCAGGATCACAATGATGACTCACAGAGACAGCATCAAATGGAAGACAATGGAAACAACAATGCAGGTGGGTTCCTTCCATTCCATTTTGCCATGACTTATGTACAGAAAATATGATTTCAGAAATTCTCCCATCTCAAACTTTGTGCATAATACAGTATATAATGCAATTCTGGATCTGATTTTGCAGGGGAGGATTCAAGCAACACTGAAGACATTCCTGTGAGTCCTGACTTGTGACCTTATAATTTTGTATAAAGGTGCTCTTATGTTGAAATGTTGAAAGGTCCTTACCTTATGCACAGCTAGGCCCTTCTTGCCACTATTTTTATTACCAAGATTGATGTAATTTCAGAATTCTTGCTGATGTTCAGGGTGTTTAGGTATGGCATATGCATGAAAGGAGGTGAATTCCTGCATAGAACACCTTGCCCCAGCATTTATTGTGTTGAACTTACAGGATCTGTTCCAAACCTTTCCCATAAGCAGGTTTTGAAGTAAAATCTTTCAAATAAATGTCTACTTGCTAATTTTTGAGACTCTTTGTGTTTAGAAGTTGAAGTTTAATTACTTCATTTTAGTGAGGTCATATTGCCTATTGCCTATTGCCCTTGATTTTGTACATTGCTGAAAAGATTCCTTTTGCAGATAATTGAATCTGTTATTGTTGAAATTTAAGGCTGGGATATGAAATACAAACTCTTGATGAAATTCTAATTTAAGAACTCAAAAAACTTTGGTAAATTTTCAAACCATACCCCTGCTTGCTTGTATAGGGGAGAGTGACCTTTTCAACTTAATAGTAGCATCAGACACATGAGAATGACTTTATTGGCTCCCTAGTCAGAATGCCAACAGTGTTATACAGGGTGTTTGAAAAGTCACTGTGCAGTAGAATTCATGACATGACATAGTACTCATTATAGCCAGGAATTACAGACAATAAATTATGTGAATCAGGGATGGTGCTAATATTTGATGAAGTATTGAATGGAAATTCATATCTTTGATGATGCAATACATGTGATACACAGTAAAATACTAAATACATGCAACAAAATAAATGAATTTTACTGCACAGTGACTTTTCAAACGCCCTGTATCCTCCTTTAATATTAAAAATTGCTGCCTAGCCTCATAATCTTGGAAACTTTTCAGTTGTGTTTCTTGAGAGAATTTTTGTGATGGTTCCCATGACAATCTGGTGCATGCCTTGGTACATTGACTGGAAATGGGGTGGAACCAAGTTTTTTCCATACTATTTCAAATTACCTTGATCAAGAGTATAAATGCAGTGTTTACTTCTTCCAAAAATGTAATAGAGGTGATGCTTGTGTGTGTACATAGACAACTTATCCTCTGCTGTATGCACACTAGTGCCATTAGAGACCCTTGTTTTAGTCTCCAACTTGCAGTCCTGCCTAGATCTCCTTAGCTATGATTTATAAAACTCAGAGCTGAGTCTAGACTCTTTGTTTACAAGAGCTTTCTCAAATGTTCTATTGATGTTTTCATTCTGGCATACCCATGCCTATGGTGTGGGAATGAAGTTATGATTTTAACTTAGCTCAGTGTAGATTAAAATGCTTCTCTTTTTCAGGACTGGGTTGATGTGAAGCTTGTGGCAAAATCCTGGCTAAGGCTTCTTCAGGTTCCAATGCAATATATGATGAACATCGAGCGCATGCATTCTGGGGCTCGAAGATATGTTATCCTGGATTTTGAGCAGCCTGTGTATCTCACAGACATCTTCTTTCCTGCCTGCTCTGATCTCATCTCGGTTTCCATTGATGTGTGGCTTGAAAAAGAAGATGTGGACGGAGATCGGATAGTTCTTGCGGTTGATATTGGAAGTAGGGACCTGCTCCTATCTGATCTTCATCCACCTCCCATTTGTCGGTATCTTAAGGTGAGCCACTGTTCTTACCTCATGGTACCAATTTGTAGATCTCTTTTGGAAACTATAATTGTGGCTTTGTTATCCCAATTCCATGTCAGGTGACAGCAATTGGGAGGTATGGGATGAACACAACTAAGTGTCGCATCCCAATAGGGATGTTCTATGGCCATTCCCTGCTTGTATCTCAGGATGGTGGGACTTTAGATTCCAAGCATAAGTCTGCCATCAAGGTAGGACTCAGCAATTTTCATGTGCATATAGTAAGCAACAAAAAAAAAAGGGATCAGAAAATTAATTTGAAAGTAATGTCATCGTTCACAAATGATGAGGATGAAGTATTTTCAGATAAAATACCTCAATATATTGTTTGTGTTTCAGAGCCAGTTATATGTACTAAAGGCACTTCTAGAAGATGTCACATGCAGATTCAGCCTTGCCTGCAACAAACTTCGAGATCACCTTGATCCCTTGCTACAAATGGAGGGATTAAACCCATCAAACATGCACCACTACCTTCTTCGGGAAGCTCAGATGCGATCTTCAACCATCAGTATAATGAGCGAAGAGGATAAAAGCATTCTTGCTGCATATCAGGTTACATTGATCTCCATCTTCAAAGATGACTTTTTTAATAAGGCAAAAAATTAAATATTTAATTTGCAAGAAAAGAAAGGAATTGAAGCAATGAAGATTAAGAGTTACCTTGCAATTTCATATTTATTAACATTTTTGCACTATAGGCAACATGATGAAAATGGGATATGGAGAAGTGCTGCAGAGTATTATATAATATTTTTCTTAACTGCAGGAGTGTTTGCAGCTGCAGCAGCAGCTGAATCTTGTTCGAAGTGTGATGCAGCACATTAGACAATTGGAAGGAACCTCTTTCAATCAAGGAGACCACAGGATATCATGGGACTCAAGGACTTTGCGACAGGACATCAAGGGAGTCTGTACAGACAAGCTCCAGAAGATCTCAGCATATCTTCTTGGCATCCTTTCTCAAATGGCCCTCACACCACCTTTTCTGCCAAAAGTATGCCAAAAGCACTTTGCTTGGCTATTCATTAGCTAGGCTGTGTTGCAAGAAATGACAGTTTGTGTTTCTTCACAGATGATGGGAGAGCTATTGACTGAGGAGCGATGTAGTGAACTGTTCTGGCACCTGTGTGTGAATGGAAACCCCCAGATGCAGTTGGGTGTGGGGTCACTTCTATTGGGAGTGGGTGCCATTCAACAATGGTGGGGTCATTACCTCACTACAACCATCACTACACTTTTTAACTCAGCTCATGCATTCCTCTTTCCTCAAGATCGGTGAGTTCAATTGCTCAATTTCTTTTCATGCCATGTTTTTCATTCTCCCTGAATTGCACAAATGACAAATCTAAATTGAACATGATCCAAACTATCCCAACAGGGTCTTCTCATTGTTGGCATACCTGGGGCAACAGTCAGTGCTGAGGAACCAGAATCTGGGTGTTCTATCAAGTGTGCTTGCTCAGTGTGCTCGCTTATTGGCTCCCTTGCTTGCCAGTCCCCACCCCAGTGGAGGATTTGTGATGACCACAATTGACTTACCATTGCTTTCCTGGCTACTTCTTTTCTTGTCCCTTTGCCTCAGTGCCCTTCAGACATCCCACAGTGAGACTCCTAAAGACAACAAGGGGGCAGGTGAGCTATTGCTTCATAACTAGATAGGGTGAATCCAGAGCTGAAGAGCCTAGATATTACTTACCCATACCAAGTATGTAATGCACATCTTGTCAAGATAAGTAGTAATTAAAAATCTACTTGACAGAAGGATCATTCTATTCAGTCAAGGCCATTGCATGTCTTCAAATATTCCATATACAAGTAGTTTCTTGCCAGAGACCAGGCTGAAATTGAATTGTGAAAAAAAGCACCTTGATTGAAATGAGTGTATGATGTTATTTACTGAATTCCATGTAGGTAGAGACAGGTGGAATTTCCTCTTGGGTGATGCAGCTCTGCATCACAGATCAGGTGCAGGTGGGGGAGGAAGTGGAAGCAGAACAAGCTCTAAAGCCTTAGAACGCAGTCGCCTTTCCAAGAAGCTTCTTCATCACAAACAACAGCTGCAAAATATAGAAGCCATGAAGGCTGCTGCAGCATCTGTTGCAAAGGTTTGAATCAGTGCTGTGTAATCAGCAGTTCCCATGCTTTATGACAGAGGGGCCTATACTTTGCTTATTGAAGATTCCATGACGCCAAGGGAAGGTAGACCAGTAGAAATACGGGTGGAAATGCACCATGTAACAGAAAGTAAATATTTGGTTGTTTTTTTTGCATGCTGGACCCTCTGTGACTGAAACCAAAACCCCACCATGACCCAAAGTGGGTCTATGTAGGGTTGGAGGTTGGGAACTGGTGATGCAGACAGTATTTGTGTTCAATTTCTTGATCTTTTAATGATTGCATTGCTGTAAAATATATGCTCTTGCTTGTAGCCCATGGTGAATTTGGTAAACATCCTGAAATCTGCAAAGGCAGTGGAAGACTATTCAAGTCTGGAATCTGCCCTCATGGAACAAAAGCATAAACTCAAAGTTCAGCTGAAGAAGCATTCATCCAAAGTTAGTTTTATTATTCTCACTGGCTCCAAGGGAAATAACCCTCAATACTGCTTGCAGTTTCATCAATTTTTTAAAAATTATTATGTTATCCACAGCACTTCAAGGACCTGATATCTCTACGTATATCTGAGGCCAGTCTCTTGCATGGTGGAAGAGATGGCAGGGATGCTCAGGGCCAGTCAAATGGCCAGCCTGGAACAAGTGCTCAGATTTCTATCTCTGAAGGGCCCCTGAAAAAAGAAGCTCTGTTCCTAAAGCATGGAGAGTGTTTGAGTGTAGCAAAAGCTCTTCTTTCATTGCTACTGTCTCCAGATGCATCAATTCACTCAGACATATTCCTCCTCACTTTGAAGGTATGGCTTATTGAACAGCATTAATGTATGTATTTTGAATAACATTAGAATCCTCCTTTACATTTGCTTTTTTATAAATTACTCCAGGTGCTGTCACAGCTGGCAAGTGCCTCCAACCCCCCTATCTGTCTCCATGAAATTGCTCAGCTGGAAGAGGTGGAGCAACTCCTCCGCCTTGCCATTGCATCAAGGAATGCTCATGTGACTTGGGCTGGCTCATGGACTGCGCATGCTATTATGACTTTCCTTCAAGATATCCTGAAAGGTAGGATGGAGACCTTTTTCATTACCATATAGCATTATCTCATTGCTTCTAAAATTGTTCTTGAGGCCATCAATGACACTGATTCAAACAATGAGCCTATGTCATCAACAGCATCTATGGCCTATACATAGATGTATAATTTCAATTTCTTATCTAACTCAAGAACATGATTGGTTCTGCATATATTAGGGGAGCGTGATTACCGTGAAAACAATGAGTCCGAGGATCGGCAAGAAGAAGAAAACATTGGGGAGGCTGCAGTTGAGACAGATGTTATAGATGTTCCTGAAGATGGGGCAGAATCTGGTGCTTCTTCTGCAATGAATGGAGATATTGCCAGTCCTCCTCCCTCAACTTCAAAAGGAATTGACAGCTTGGACTTTATGGAATGGGAGGAGCCATTGGGATTCTTCTCCTCTATGGATGATTCTGAAGACCTTTCTCAAGACCAGGGTATTAATGAAATGCCATGAGGAATAAGACATCCAAAGCCCAATGGTGTGGACTTGACTTTTTATTAAATTTCTTTGCAGTTTTGATCCTCTCCTGTGAGGAGATGCAGGCTCCAAATATACAAGCAGCTGTCGATTTAGACAGTGAGAGTGACAGTGATGAAGGAATGCCATCTTGGGATGATTTTGAGTCTACTGTTGAAGGCCTTAAATTTCCAAGTATGCCACCCAAGCAGACTTCAACTCCTGTTGCTCCATCCAATCTTCCTCCAAAAAAGGCCTGGTATGTTTCTCTAGATCAGGGGTGTCAAACTCAAATTGGTTAGTGGGCTGCATTCCTTACCCTGCAGGTGCCGCACCCATAATTTTTCCTTGAAATTTGTGCTAACAGTCAATCCAAGTGGAAATTTCAAGAACAGACGGTGGGCAGGATGAACCACTTCTGTGGGCTGGATCTGGCCTGCAGACCATATGTTTGACACCCCTGCTCTAGCTCAATGTATGGTTATGGAAGTCAGACTAGTTTCATTCTTGCAGGAGATGTTCGTTAGATTTTATCCTAATTATGCTGTCAGTTAATTACTGATGATTTCACTGAAGAGCAAGAGGAATTATAATGAAGTGCATCTTGTTGGCAGTTGTAATGCAGATCAGGGATAAGGAATAAGGTGACAGTTCTCTTACTCAGGAATGAATTAGTATTGAAGTTGGATTACACATTTGAGGTTCTGGCAGTCTACCAGGCATTCAGGGTACCTTTATTTTGGTGTCCTATCAATGATGAGCATTCCACTATTCCATTTCAAGGGGAGGAAAGTTCTTGGGCATGCAGCCATCCAAACAGGGATCCCAAAACTCCTTCTGCAAGGACCTGTTCAAAGACCTTTTGACAAACACTTCATCCAGCCAAGGACAGATACGAATCTCAACGGGGATGGATGTAAGGCTAGAAGCAGGGATAGGTCTCCTCCCAGAAATTCGTCTTCAGGGCTTATCATTAGCATTGGCCAATGCTTTATCCTCAGCAATATCTTCAAATGCAGTTCCACAAAGGGCAAAGGCAAGAATAAAAGGCAGTAAAAACAAGTTCCCATTCATTGTTGATCATTGCACTCATTCATATGCTGCATATGGTAGGTGATCCAGGATAATGGTGGAGCTGCGAGAAGACAAAGATCTGAGAATGCTAGTGGATTGATGAGCATTGAACTCCTCACTACATGCTTTGACCATTTATTCACTCAACTCAATAATAGAGTAAGTTTCTTCTTTTCTTCTATGTTCAAACTTCATTTTCTTATTTTTAAAAGAGTTGAGAAATTATATGCTGCTGTGACCAGGTGGATGCTGGAAGTGTTGAAAGCCTCCTTCAACTCTGGTTGCTGATTAACTGTGAAGTTTTCTCTGATGCAAGACCTGTCACATGCCCATCTTGTGATCAGAGCATTGTGCCTGTCATAACACTCAGCCCTCTTGCCATCTCCAGTCTCCTCTCTACTTTGGATTGGTAGCTGTTACCTTGTGGCTCTTTCTGGGATAGATTTATGGGAGTGGATGTCCCTGGGATGATTTTGTGTCAATGGCATGATTTTGCAGGCTTCCCCAGGTGAGCCTGAGGGCATGGTGCCTGGCATTCCAGAGCCTCACGTTGGCATGTAATCTCCGCTGTCCTGAGGCTGGTGCAGAACTTGCATCTGCTGCATGGAGGCTCAACAACACACCTGACATCCTAGAACATGCGACTCAAGGTTGGCTTGCAGCTGACATTGTCATGACTCCACGCCTTTCTTCTGTGCTGTTCAAGTTCCTTACCCAATCTACTGGATACGAGAGCAGGGACCTGCAGGATCGGGTGAGACGTTTCACATGTCCCTGCGATTTGTGCCCTGGAGCTGTTTCTTCTAGCTGACTTAACATCAAATTTTCAGGAATTTGCAAAACTCAATGCCTTTCCATTTCATTCACTCCAGGTTGGGCCCAGTGTTGTGAATGCATTTCACACATTCCTGGTGAGGCTGCAGCTCCGTTGTGATGTGACTACCCCAACAAGTCAGCTTGGGATCCATCTGAAGACCCTTCTGTTGAAGCTTTTATACCAGGTCACTTCAGGTGGCTCCATCCAGGTACCTTCATTTTTAACAGCCTTTTGGAAGAGAATATTGCTGTACAACCTACCATTCTTGTGCATGTACTGGTACTCCAATGATGGATCATTGATTGCAATCAGAATGCATGAAAAATCCCAATATTGTTTAGATCTGCAGAAATCTGGTCATCAGATTGGCAGTTAGTGCTTAAATTTCTTGTATTCACAGCAAATGTGTTTTGAAGCCACCTAGGAAGATGTGCTGGATATTGGGCAAGTACAGTAACTAACTACATGTATACCCACCTTATTGTACATGCATGTGGTGGTAGACCCATTTGGTATAAATATACTATGGTCTGGCAAATCTGATGATCACCGTTTCTAACAGTTTCNTCTGGCAAATCTGATGATCACCGTTTCTAACAGTTTATGAGGGGATTATTCCAGTTATTCAGTTACTATTGTATAATGTGAGCTTGTACTCAGTAATGGGCTGCTTTTTGTAAGTCAGTGCAAATCCCTTTCTTAACTAAACACCTAGAGAGGAGAAATAAACAAAAGGTTGATGGAATGGGAACAGTGGGCTTGAACTATAATATTGTGGGCTTCTCATTGGGAACCTGATGTATGGTATACATCACCTTGAGAATCTCAATAGTTGAAGTCATTCTCTTTACCCATCTCTACCTCTTTTATGGCCAGATTGAGACCAGTCTGTTCTGTCTGTGCCAGAGCAGCTCAGACTAGTAAAAGTGGACAAATCTTGTGCAAAGCAAATGTGATGGTTCTGATTGCTGATGCAGCTGGTTAGCTATAAGGAGTGATGTGACTTGCCTGTTAGCACAAGATTGCCTCCATACTGCAGAGCATGACGTATGAGTATAAAGAAGTATTTGTGTGGAAAATATTAAATTCCCCGGGGGAAATGCTCCTGTCAAAAATTATATAGAATATAAGCAAAACTCTGATGTGTGAGTGGAAAAGGGATTCTGTTTCTAATAACTGATTTGCAACTTTTTCACTTACTTTGCCTTCATTCTCCTAGCCAGGAGTCTAACTTTTTTCTGCTATGCTGACAACAAGGGATCATGACATTGAAAAAGATTTGTTACTCAGATCTTGGTCCCTTCATGTTTCCTACTGGTTGATACAGGTCTCAAATGTGATCATGTTGATAAATTTTCTCAGTGAAGTCATTCATTGAAAAATCTTTAATTAATTCCAATTGATTGATTGTAAGATTAATATCTCGATGTCTTAGAGTCATTCTGAACTTTGGTTTATGTTGCAGATGCTCCATGGACCACTTGATGCTCAATGTCGATTTGTGTCCCAGTTGCTCCTTCTTCACTATGACAATGTGGATCCTGGCACCATCATGAGTGTGATTGAAAGCATTTGTAAGTGATGGCATTGTAACTTTGTATTTGCTTACATTCAGTCAGTTTGCAAGTCCCATAGGTTGTGTCCATATTAAATGGGACAAAATTTGACAGGAGACAAAAATATCATCCATACCATATCAAGGATGCCATGTTGTGTCTTTGCAATCTCTAAAAAAAAACACTAGCTGTTCTTTCCATGCTTTCACAGAATTTCAATTTCTGCTTAGTCTCATTTACTAAAATTGCATTCCAAAGTCTCCAGCAGCCCTATGACCCTTGGTTATGTTTGACAGGCTTGCTTGTGCACAATGTGCTCATGAACCCAAGCTTATTGAAGTGCCGAACCTCATCCCAGTCAGAAGATCTTAGTTCTACCTGCTTTGGAGGAATTCTCAGTTCTCTGATGGCAAATGCAGCAGCCTCTGAGGGCAACAAGCAGGCACAAGCAGCTACCAGAGAAGCTCTATTTTGCAATTTACTCCGTCTTGTGAATCGCTTGATCATCACTCCACTGCCCAGTCGACAGGTGAGAAGCTGGTGAATGAATGTCAGGTGTGCTTTGCGGTATGGTGATGTTCATTCTTGTCACCCTTTGCCAGTTGAGAGGTGGGGGAGGAGCTCCATCCTGGTCATCCACACGGGAAACCCCATTGACTGACTCTTCTAAGATCAGACAACAACAGCAACAACAACAGCTTCAGCAAGAACGAGGTGCCTCTCCTGCATCCAGTGAAACAGATGAGTCTAAAGCAAGCCATTCCCAGTCAGCTGCACTGGCCAGACCACCAACTCCTCCTCGGTGTAGTCACCAGACACCTTTGGCCTCGACTGCTTTCATGGCAGATTATGGTGAGTTGATTCAATAATGTTGGTTTTGTGTTTTCTGAGACTGTGTTCATTCTGTGTTTCCTGAAAGTGTTAAGGTGAGTCACAGGTCATGTATACTCTTCTTCATTGCAGTTCTGGGAAATCAAAGCATCATGAACATGCTCTTGTCATCCATGTCACACTGTACTGGGAATGCATTAGCCATGCTACTCCTGGATGCTGACCCAACATCATGGGACCTCGAGGATCGTGTGATGTTTGGTGATCCAACATCCATTGCCGATGGCCTCTTCCAGCTTCTGATGACCTTGAATCAAAAAGCCTCCACCATCAGTCTGGTGCTGAATCCTCTCCATACATACCTTCTTGGTGAGAACTGCAGCTAAATATTGTATTCAGGTTCAATGCTGCTCATTTGTGATCTCCTTATCTTGTTTTTCAGTGGTTTTTCATGTTAGCCATATAAATTGAAAATGAATTCTCGCTGCATTAAATCATCAGCTCTTCTCATCAATGTGATGAATTCAAGGCTGGTAAACTCTCCAGAATACATGTTTTTAAGATTGATTTAAGAAGCCTTAGCTTCAGTGATTAGTCTTCTTGAAAAATGGAAAGGTTACACCAGCCTGACGGAGATATATATTCACCATGCTTCTTTCTTTTTCATTTTTTAGGATCTGGTGGTGGCTTAGCCCCTCATTCAAATGTTCCACGACTCTCAAAGCCGCTGTTATGGTTTGTGCTACGTGTGCTTGACTGTCCCCAGGCAGTGCGGGAATTTAATGCCATGGGAGGAATTCAGGTATGTAATGGCCATCAATATTTACCTCAACAGCAATTAAATGCTGAAGGGTTGAATAGGTATAGATGACTCGGAGTGGTTTTTTTGTTTTTTCAGGGTCTTTGTAATAACTTGGTTCGGTCTGCTTTGTCCATGAGCAACCCCCATCCATCACTTGTTTCAACAATGATGCAGTACTTGATTAAAGCTCATGAGCCACCCCCATCTTCCCAAAAGAAGTCAGAGCTTGCTTCCACTTCAACAAATTATGATGGACTCATCAATATAGCTCCACTGGGTGAGATCCCACTTGCTGAACTTGAATGCACAGAATTACAGTCTCAGAAATGCATTCAGTTATTTGTTTTACTCATTGGCTCTTCATAATCCAATCTTGAGGGAGGGGAATTTTTCATTAAGGCCAAGGGTTATGTGGAATGACATGACTGCAGAAGTTAAGAAAATTTTGAGAAATTAACCCTATTGCACTGAAAATTTCAAAGCACCTTATTTTTATGTTATCAGTATTATAATAAAACACTAGTGCATGTCTTTTCTGTTTTACATGCATTGGTTAACTACTACACTACTTACACCATAACTGTGACAAGTTGTTGTTGAAGGTAGAGTTTGATATTCCCATTGTGATGACTCTGTCATCAATGGTAACGAAGGGGTTAAGAGCAAGGATGCAGTTTACTACTAGTAATAATATAAACTAGGATCAGATATTTATTATGAAACAATTGATGCTTAGATTGTATGAAAAAGGGAAAATTCAAGTATTTAGATATCCCCCACCTTTGTAATCAAGTAGACTTGCTAGTTCTTCTCTAGGGAATAGGGGATGTGGATTGATTCCATGATTGGGTTTGGTAGGTTGTTTCATAATATGTATGAAAGGGTTCACAAGCATGCCTCTTTGTAAAGTCTTAAAATGTTCTAATGGGAAAGGGATTGTTGTAACTTTCTAAAATGAGATGAGGCAGCCACTTCTGGTTGAGTCCTGGTACTCATTGCTGAGACAAGGAATTATTTATTTGCTTGGAGTTCCAGGTTGAAAGGGATCCAGATTAATTTTTAACTTCAAAAATGTTTATACCATAAATGGTCATTCCAGGGAACATCTGGTGTACCAGTCCTAGTGCACAGCACCCAGAGATCCTGATTCGTTCATTGCCAGCTCATAGAAGAGCTCGCACTCCAGCTTGGTCCCATCATTTCTTCCCAGGAGATCCCACTGAGCAATGGGTTGATCTAATACTCAACCTCCCATGTGCTGTGCTCCTCAAGGAAGTCCAACTGCAACCTCACCTGTCCTCATTGGCTAGTGCGTGTAGTCACACAGCAGTGACGTTGGATTAACCTTCAGCATTCACTAAATTTGAGTTGTTTTTTCTTGCATTCAGCCTGTCCTTCAGTAGTTGGCATTGAAATCAGCCGGGATCCCAGATCCCCACTGCTGCCCTTGGGGGAGGCACTCCCTACCAGTGGCCTCACCCTTATCCGATTTCGCTTGACAAAGCCAGAAGTAGCTTCAACTATCCTCCTAAGACTCTACAAACCCAAGGATTCATCAAACATAGGTTTGAGCCAAGTGAAGGTGTATGCTTCAACCACATTTGGGGATGCCCTCACCCATTTATCATCTACATCTGAGCTCTCCAAGGAAGATCTTCATCTGAAGCTCAGGTCAGTCTTTTGACTTGTAGTGGATTCCAAAATAATTATTCAGTGGCAAACTCATGGGGTAATTATTCCCTAATATTGTGCTCCATAATAATAACTGTACGTGCTCTTATTTCTATAGCATGGGGTGGCTGAGGCTGTTGGATCATTGCCTGACAATAGCAGAGACTCCCTCTCCATCTCAATCAGATGGGGAGTTTCTTCATTCCCAGCTGATGAACTCTGTGATGTCAGTTGGGACCATGATACCAGCCTCTGTTACTCTTCTCACATCCCCTATACCAACATCATGTATCACTGGACTGGAACGTCTCCTCCTCCGTATTGGGCTTCAGTATCCCACTTCTTCGCCCCTCTTACTTGAGAATCTCCTTCGTGTTGCCAAGTCTCCTCATTCTCTTGGTTAGATCAGGTGTCTTTGGGACTTACCCCAGATTTTTTATTATCCCATAGCCCTGAAAGATCACTTGATTTTCTCATCCAGGTTGGAAAGAACTGAGCGATTCACGGGGAGTGGATTCAGTGACAGAACTCCTCTTTCGGGTGTGTATTGTGGGCCTAGGTGGGGAGTCATCTTCTCAGAGTCGAACATCATCTCATATACATCACCTTCTCCTTTGGCTGGTTGACCTGTCTCATTCAGTCATTCAAGCTCAGGTTAGTGGGAGAGCATACAGTGGCTCTTTCAACCTCTCTTCAGCTGCAAAATGTAATCAAATCATTAGTTTTTTGAGGATTCTCATTATTACTTTTCTCCATGATTGGACACAGGTGAGTTACTCCTCAGAACATGACAGGCTGATTCAGCAAGAGTCATCTCCTCCTGCAGTTTATGTACACTGCATTGCAGCCATATTGTGGCAAAGTTCAGATGCCTCTGCTCTCAGTGAGAACCTTGTGAAGTAAGTGTCTTGTATTTTTGTCTTACCCTTACATTAGGGTGCACATTTTTTTCTTTATGGAGTCTGATTTCCTAATTCTTGTGTAATTAGGTCATTGTATCACTGGAGCATGCACTTGCCTATGAAGTCACTGTTGAAGAGAGCAATAGATTGGGTCCTGTGCTCTGTATGTCACCTTGAGCCCCTTTTCCTTCTCCGCATACTTGAATGGATGCACCTTGAACCCCCAGGCTCAGAAAGTGGAACTTCTATGACAGATGACAGGTCAGCTCATGCTTTTGTCAGTGAGATTTTCTTTTTACTCAGGTGTCACAATTCAACTGTTTTCTTGTTCACAGAAAGGATGAAGGAGGGGATGTGCAGATGTCTGTCACAGATGATGGGAAAGAAACCGAGGCTGGATTGTGCTCTCATGAGAACCACTTATCAACCCTTGCTATCATTGCTCAGTCACCAAAGGCAGTGCAGCAATTGATTCGAACAGGATTACCAGATTTTCTTGCTCGAGCTCTGCATGGTATGCTGTTTGATTCAAGAATGAAATCCTTTTGTTATTGGGAGCTTTGAAATGCATTTTATGAGTATGGTATATCAAGCTGAGAATTTACTGTGTGTGGTCAAAAAAAGACCCTCAACTTTGGCTCTTTGCATCATGAGTCTCTGCTGTTTCTGGAGATATTTTAAAATAATATATGCTTGGTGCATAGAATGGTACATTTCCAAAATACTGTACTCAACTGCTAAAGGAGAGCTATCAGCAATTGCTTAAAATATGTCTGAAAATTAAAATATTTATAGATTGTAGTCCTTGTTCAGAAAGTTATTTGAAGAAAGTGACTCCCTGTCATCATTAAGACTTCTTTCAACTTTCATTATGTTGAATGTGGGTTGCATTAATTTATTCTTGCAAAGAATGAGGAGTTAACTGGTATCAATGGGGAGAGCTCACTTTCAATTTATTTAGATATAGTTTCATATGTTTCTTGGCAAGCCAAGTAGACTCATATGGAAGGAGAAGAACTCCTTGTCTCCTGTTATAAATTCTATATTTCTAGGAATTTTTTTTTTCAGAACCTAGAGTTAGCAGAATGAATTGGGATTTTCCCCCTTATCTTTTAGAAATATGTCAGCCTATACACCTTGCAAGTTTGGTGCAGATTGAATCCATATATTAACCATCTTCCTGAAGCAGAGTTGGGGAATTATTATTTTTGTCATGACTTGTATATCATTGGATATCTTTCTCCTTTCATCAGACTTTTCGAGGGGAGAAGGTGAAAGAGAGGCAGACATTAGTGATTCATCTGGACCTGGTGGCACATACCTGACTGACATGGACAAGGCGTCAAGAGTTTCTAGGATTGCTGGTTAGTGAAGTAGCTTAGTTCCATTTGTTTCTTTACAAAATCTTGATGTTAGGGGAATCTACAAATGTAGTTTACTTCATCAAGGTATGATTATGTTCTTGTAAAGCTCCAGCTGATGATGGTGTTTTTTTCTGTTGATGGCTGTTGCAAGCACAAAGATGCCTTCATGTATCAATATAATAAAGATGGCACCTTCATCCAGCACCATTAGTGAATCAAATTTGAAACAGTCATCAAGACCAATTTTGGTCATGCATTTGATTCCTCTGTTCTCATAGGCTTCATAATTATATGTACCTGTATATCTATTTTTAATGCTCTAACCATCAGGATATGATCTTCCCTATTATAGCATGGAAGGTGGATAAGAGCCTGGCAAGAGGGATCCTAAGCATGTTCACGGAGCTGTGTGGTGAAGGGGAATGGAGGGACTGGGCAGGTGGACCTCAGGGAAGTATATTTTGGACTCCCCTTCTGAGCAAGCTCTCTGCCTCCTCACATTCTTCAATGAGGTATGGGTGCGCTTAATATGTCTTTAATATATGATGGCAGTAGTCCTTGAAGAGCTGCTTGGTTCTTTGTGTGTCTGCAATGGATTGCCAATATGAGATTGGATGTTGTAGCTTTTTCATTCCATGGCTGCATGCTATGTCATAGACATAGCAGAACTCTTGTGGTTATATATAGTACCCTCTGTAGGAATGAGGAAGATGGAGCATTGGAGGAGGCAGCTATTAGATTCTTTGCCGCATGCTGCTGGGCTCATCCATCCAATCAGCAGCTGCTTGCTTCTGCTCTTTACTATCTCATTTCCATCCAGGAGAAGATTGCTCCAGGTTAGTGGAATCAGTGTGTCTAAAGTGAGATAATGTTGAATGTATTTATATTCATGATCCCTTCCTTACCCCAGTTGCATCAGCGGTTTTGCATGGGATGACGGGATTTGCGAGGCGGTGTGTTCTGCAGCTGCTTCTTGAGAGTGAGAAGATCTATGTGCACATAGAAGGGAAAGAAAAGCTGAAGAAGCAGTCAACACTGGGGCTCATCACTCATCCTCGATTTGGTGCAGGTCATCGACATTTTGTCCTTTACACCAACCTCTCCACTTCCTGCTCAGATCTCATCAAGTCAATCACTGGGAAAGACAGTCTGTTCCTATTTGGCTCATCCTAATTAGAAGATGTCCAGGAGGCAGTATTGATAACGTATCATTTTTATTCCAGCTACTGGAAGCCAAGGAAACCCAGAGGGAAAGGAAGGATTGCAAGGGGATTGTACCATTGCCACAGATGCACTCAGGAAAGACATAAACAACTATGGCCTCGAATTGGTTGACCACTTGGCCACAGGGCTCCTGGCACGAGACAGTGAAAAAATGGGGAATCAGAGCCCTGACGGATGGGAGGGCATTGCATCAACATCCAATCGATCTCCTGAGGTGGAGGCCTACCTCTCCCATCCCAAAATACCTGGCACATTCCTCTCGGGCTCCTGTACGATTGGGAAGATCCTTGCATATCTCCATTCCAGGGGGCATTCTCTTAGTGCCCCTGTGGTCTCTCTCACACTAAGACAAGCACCTGGTTCTGGAAAAGCATCTGCAGGTAAATGGGAAATAGTCCAATCTCATAGGGCTGCCAAGATATCAGATTTTGCCAATATTATGCTTCAGGGAAATTGTATCCAATATTCAACATCTTATAGTAAATACTAGTAACTGAATTTTTTTCATTGGTTATCCATTGTATCTTTCATTTCTGAGCTAAGAACCATTTGACCTGACCCATCTCCATATATCATGATTGCATCTCTTCCTGATTTTCTTACCTGCAAAAAAGGAAATAAATAAGCTAAAAAAATCAGAACTTTAGTCTATGCTGATATTGATAGTCAATGTCTGTTGCAATCCCTAATAACAATAACTGATGCCAAAAAAATATTTTTTCAACCCTAGTCTTGTACTTATGTTCATTTTTTTACATATTTGGAACCTGTTATGTGAAATTTAGGTGGAGATCCAGAAGGAGAGAAAGAAGAGGTGCTCTCAGAAATTTTTCCATTAACCAGTACCCTTCAGGTCTTTGCCAAGATGGGAGGCCTGGCACTGATTGCACAGCGTCTCCCACTCTTCTATCTCAACATGCCTTGTGAAGTGAGTGTATAGTTTTGGGAGGGAGAAGTGGACCTTGTAGTTTGAATAGGCCTGGAGATGTAAAGTTGCAGCCAAGAGGATGGCAGACATTAGCCATGGATTTCAAGCTGTATGAATATGTTTAAGAAGAATCTGCAGCACCATTGCTACTCTCTTTTATCACCCCTGACAAAATGTTTAATTTGTTCTTGAATAGTCTTCAAGCACTATCAAGATATTCCCAGCCTGTTTGAAACACAAATTCTTCACGTCTATCGCACAACAGTCAATCCAACTTTTTAAAAATAGTTTGGGACCTTTGGGCAATGAAGATGGTGGGGATTTTGTAACCGATGGACACAGGATTGAATTATCAGTTCCTTTAGACCATTAGATGTGGAAAAAGATTCAATAGTTGTTGGAATGTTTGGTTCGATGGTTGTTGCACTGTGATTGCTTTTCTTTGTCCACATAATAGGTTGGCTTGACCCCTGGTTCACAAAGTAGTCATGCAGGGATGTATGGGGAAAACGATGGGGACTGGATAAAGCTAGATGAGGAAATCTATGATGTGAGTGCCAGAATTGGAACTTTCTTCCCCAAATCCATAATGACATGATATTTTCATAATATCAAAATTTTGTTTCATGGGTAGGAATTCTCTGTGGCTGACAATTACTTACTGGTTGATGGCCATGCAGTCGGACCCAGGAGCAACCACAGCGCACTCCTGACATTCCCTCCACATTCTCTTTGTGCTTTTCGCATGTTTCTTGAATTACCTGGGTATGCTGAGGTTGTCCTTCAAGATGCTCAACCAGCACAGTGCCTTCTCAGGCTTTGCCTTGGAGTCATGCATGATGGAGATGGACGTGAGGAGGAATCTTCTATCATCTTCTAAGACTATTACTGTGTAAATCTTAAAAGGCTGCAAATTCTCTATCTTGCAGGTGAGATCTTCGGACTGCCATTGGCTGCATCGCTTCCATATTCCCCATTCACATGGCTCACAAGCCTCTTGTCCCAGTGGCCTTTGACAACTGATGATGGAGTGCTGCTGAGGCGGAGAGCTGTAGAAACATGGTCATTGCATCTCATCCTCACGTGCCTTGCTGCTCTCAGTCGGCAATCATGCAACATCCCACTTGCTGGTCCCTATGAGAAAGTGTGTTTTTGTCATTTTCCCTCATACATGGCTCTTCAGGCAGGATTCCATAAATGGAAATGCTTCTTGAATTCATACAGCTCATAGTTGGTGCCATGCGAACCAGTTTGTCCATGCCAGCCCCCACTGCCTGGCAACCTCCAGCAAATGGCAGTAATGGGACTGGTGGCACCACATCTGCCACCACCAACACCACCACCACTACCACCACCAGCAAGGTCTCTGTCTACCCACAGCCTCCAAATGAAGAGAAGTCCATGAATTATTGGGCCAAGGGGACTGGATTTGGGACAGGAAGCACTGCACCTGCATGGGATGTGTCCCAAGCACTTGCCAGGCAGCGGCATCTTGAGGAACATGTGGCTGGACTTTTGCGTGTCATTGCAGCTTTCATCAATCCAAGTGAAATGAAAAAGTCACAGCGAAATGGGAATGGAGAGGGAACAGAAACTGATGGAAGCCACCTTCTCCCATCCTGCCTACCCACATTGCTTCAGCAGTCCTGTCTCCAAGCCACCATCTGTGCCTATTTGAGGAATGACTCAGGTGAGTGGGGGATGAACTCAATATCTTTGTCAATTAACTCTACAGATGACCTTGTTTTTTATGATAGTTCTGGACATGGCACGGCACGTCCCCTTGTACCAGGCCGTGCTGGTCCTCATCCGATGCCTGGCCAAGAGGCAGTGTCTCGTGAGGTTGCTACTCTCTCAGACTGCCAACAATTCTGAGCCTCCATCACAGCATGAAGGGGGGATCCTCCCTCTTCTTGCTCAGATGAAAACTTGTGTGGATACCTATGCTAGTCGGCTTAGGTAAAAAAAAAATCTGATCTGATTGCATTTTCCCATTCCCAATCCATATTGACAGGGAAGCTCATTTCATGTATTATTTATCAGTCGAGGAAGGGTTGGGGAGAAGGCAAAGACCAAGGAAGAAGAGGAGCAGGATGAAGGACTGGCTCAACTTATTCCTGACATTCAACATACCTGTGATGTTGTCAAGGTTACTTCTTTTGCATTGCCTGTTGATGCAAATGTGTGAATGATGCTGATGCTGTAACATTATGTGGGATGTGTAGGAGGCAACAAGTAATCTGGTGGTCATGCAAAGGCAGATAGAGGAACATGAAGCATCTGGTGAACTAACTGTGATCCCAGCATCTCCCAAGGTCTCACGGCAAGAACGATATCTTGAAGTCATGAAGGCTCTCCAATTTGGTATGTCCTGAATTACTTCAGAGCTGAATTAGCTACTTCTGTCATCGCCTGTTCATTTGACTGAATCCACTTATTTTGGTCAAATTACTTTTGTAGATACTTATGAGATGATGGTGGAGGATGAGGATGGAACAGTACGTTTCACAGTCGCCTTCCACTTTGAGGCAAATGCAAGAGGTGCTGCCGAGCGAAGTCGTCCGATGCGGATGAAGCGCTTAGCTCAAGAGACAGTCACTCTTTCTACTGCTCTCCCACTGTCTTATTCCAGTGGGGTTTATGTACGCTGTGATCAAGATCGACTGGACATCATGAAGGTGCTGTACTTATATTGCCACAACTCTGGATTTTGTGTCAATATGATCAGAGAATTCAATGAAGAATGCTTGTGTTTGGTGATTCTGATTTGTAGGTGCTGATTACGGGACCAGAAGACACACCATATGCAAATGGTTGCTTCGAGTTTGATGTATTCTTCCCAGCCGATTACCCTCAGAGCCCAATGCAGGTTCACCTTGCCACAACAGGCCGACACACGGTACGATTTAACCCAAATCTCTACAATGATGGAAAGGTATGCCTGAGTGTCCTCAACACATGGCATGGGAGGCCAGAAGAAAAGTGGAATCCCCAGGCATCTAGTCTCTTGCAGGTATGCCAGTTTAATGAAGGGGTGATTATATATCAGATATAGATAAATACTCCTGTGGAACAAGTCATAAACTGCTTCCTGTGTTGGATAGGTGTTGGTATCAATCCAGAGCTTGATCCTGGTAAATGAGCCATACTTCAATGAGCCAGGCTATGAAAGGTCTCGTGGGACTCCTGCTGGGACAGCCAGCTCCCGGGAATATGATTCCAACATCCGACAAGCCACTGTGCGGTGGGCCATGCTTGAGCAACTTAGAAACCCTTGTCCCTGCTTCACTCAGGTACTGATTTTGAAGCTTATGGTGTTGTGAATGATTTAGAATTTTAATCCTCATGATAATCCTTTTGGCATCATTGTATTCCTGGTGCTGCAGGTAATAAAAAAGCATTTTTGGATGAAACGGAAGGATGTGACAAAACAGATAGAAGGCTGGATCACAGAGATGGAGGGATATTCAACAGACAAACGCACTGGCCGCTCGATCTCTCTCAACACCCAGGCACTTAGGGTGAGTATATTTCATAGAATTCATGAATGCATTGTCATGAGAGAGGGAGAGGGAAAATCCTGTTGAGTGATGTCAGTGTGAAGATCCTTTGTCCAGCATAATATAAATTGATACAATTCCACATGTAGTGCTACAGCATGTTGAGTCAGTGGCCTTATGGATGTTATTCGTATTCATTGCAGCGGCACTTTGCCCAGCTGAAAGAGGAACTGGGGAAGATGACTCCACCCGTGGAGGACTTCCCGAGCGATGAGGACAACGACCCCGACCGTGATCATGACAGAAATGGGGACCAGAAGGAAGATGACAAGGAGAAGGGGGTCCAAGTGGTCAATTCTCGCTCTCAGGGGACCCAGGCCTCGGGGGGTGTGAAGACCATCCGTGTCTGATTCTCTCCTGCTATTTATTTCTCCCAAAGATGCAGCTGAGAGATGCCTGGTCCAGTCTGTACGTGCATTTCTGGTGATCGGTAGAATGGTGCCCTGAATATTTCTGCATAATGAATGTTTTCAATGTACACCTATGAGAAACAAGAAACCTATATGTCATGATCTTGAACATGCATTCAGTTTCACTATCATCAAGGAGAGTGAATGGGGAATTCTAATGGTGACTTTCTCTGCCCTGGAATCACTTAGAACCCGTGAAATATAATTAGACCCATGATGTATAATTAGAATTTGCATAACGGATATGATTATTATGCAAAGGTTAATCGACATCTCTCTGTCTTTCGCTCTGAAAACTATACCAACCAAATGACGTATCAATCCAGAGTGTGTGGCCCACAGTTAGCACAGAAACTGCAAAGCCAGACGAGCAGAAAAAGTAAAAGTTATTGTTTATAAATATACAAATACAGTCGAACTCGGTTATAACGTCATCGAAGGGACCAGGTAAAAACCGTCGTTATAACCGAGGTTGACTTTATTGGCACCCTGTTTTCAAAATTGATGCTATATAACTTTACATTGGTCATACTACAATAGCTTCAGTTTCAAGATTGACCCACTGATCGTGATGTTTCCTCTAGGAAGTTTCTTGTTTTGTGACATGTTCTCGTAAACACGGATGAAGCTGGCACGATTTTCCCTAATTGTGGAAACAGATGTCTATGTTCGCGAGCGACGTTAGCTTCACTTTGAGCTCCTTCTATTAAACTAATCAAGCACACTTTCAATCGTGAAGGCTTGCCTCTATTCGTTTTCCATTGGCCATGTTGTCAACGAGAAATGCAAATGGCGACTGAAGATGAGGTGATCTTAATTACTGGGGATTATCCCTTCCTAACATTGCTCCAGCCACACCCACATGACTCTCAAGGAATGCCGAATCCAGGAAATATAAAGTTATGGCTCTAAAGATTTCCGATGACGGAAATTTCAGTTAAGAATTGACGGATTAGGGACAAGATATCGTCTGTGGGACCTTCAATGGCTAATAACCGAGGGTAAAATGTAACGTGCCTTACGCTTTCGTCGTTAATAACCGAGGTTTTGTTATAACAGAGTTCGACTGTATAAGTCCAATCTAAGCTGGGTAAGCTATGTCACTGGCTGTCCTTTCTATATGTGTCATATCTGTCTCAAGATAAATGCCAAGAAATGCCCACACTTCCCCTTCTCGACAAGCCGGGAACCGAGCGTCTGAGCCCCCGGCAAAGGGGAAAGTGTGTACCCAATTAACGCCTGGGTCGAGGCGCGGCTGGGATCGAACCCAGCCTCCCGGACGCTCTGCCAACTAGGCCATTGTCCGCCGGTTGCATCGTTTCGGGCTAAAGGTCGGATATGTTGGAACCTCGCTGGCCGATCCTGTCGCCGAGGAAATCGGAGAAACAGCCTCGGGTCAGAGAGGGGGAAAACCAGACTTGTATTACGACAGACACTTCTTTTCTTCCCCGTTAAGAATCCTTTCCTTCTAGGT